TTGTCCTTTTCAATTTCATTAATTTTATTTTTAAATAAGACAAGTTATTTATAGAATAAAAGATGACAGTCTGAAGTATTACTTATAGAATGAAGTAGACGTTTGGATGATATTTGATTTAATTAATTAATAAATAATAAAGTGAAGTTGAAGTTGAACAATTAAAAAAAAAGGAAGAGGATATTAGTACTACAATTTTAAAAAATAACATTACTGGCAATTAGATATTGTAATATTGAAGCGAAAATATTTAGCAGTAATAGAGTTAAAAGTTATTATATTAAAAGTGGCTAAACTTTTAGTGATATTTTTTTTTACCTTAATTATAAATATTTATCTTTATTATTGTCTCTAAATAATTATTGAAAAAATTATTTATTATAGAGTTAGTCCTCGTGAATTATAATATTTTATGTTCCACAATTTTGTATATGCCAAGGATATATATTTTAATTAATTGAACGATAAATGTACTCGATCAATATGATCGAATCAAAATTTATCAACAATCGAAGTAAAATAAATGTTAAGTTATTTTTATTAATATAAAATTCTATTTCTGTAACGGTACAAATTTTTTGGGGATCAATGTCACTGCAAATTAAATTAACCTTTACCTCAATTTTGTGGGTTGACTTGTCTCTATCATAATTATAGAGCCATTTTTGGATTTTAAAAACGAAACAAATAAAAAGATTTATATAATCATAAGAAAGAATTAATAGCCGCAAAAAGAAAAAATAAATTTGGTCAGGTACAATTAAATTATAAATTATTAATCAAAGCCGGCTTATTAATAGTTATTATTAAATTAACTATATCATTTAGAAGCTAAATAATGCAATATCTTTTGTTTTTAAATTTAGAAAAGGGACAAACACCCCATAATAATTATAAAATAAATAAGAAGAAGATCAAAAAGGACGATTTTGTTGAATTATTTTATTAGTATGGCGCGTGAATAATAAATTTTAAAAATTTTTATTATGACTTTCAGCCCAATATTTAATATATTTATTGAAGTTCTACTAAATTTAATTTTGTACATGAAATATATTTTTTTTTAAGCAAACTAACGCTTTTAATATAATCGTTTTTTTTTTTAAGTTAAAATTTAAAATCTTTAATTAATCAAGATCAAAGGTGGTGTAATACAACTCATGGTGGTATAATTTTAGGAGTCTAATCAATTCATTTAGTTTCATAGTCCTTATTTATTTTGTTGTCTTACTCTTTATTCTAGAAAAAATAGTATTATTGAGAAGAAAGTTTTTTCCAGACAAACTAAAAATAAAAATCAGACAAGTAAAGGTGGACCGAAGAAATATTGATAAGAGATGATTAAAAAAGGCATGATACATTTATTATTTCCTGAGAATATGAGTTTAAAAAGGAGAATATAGAATTAGATCGAAAATGAAAACAGCGAGGACCTGGGTTTCATCGAACGGAAAGTTCAAAGATGGAGACTAGATTCGACACGAAATCGAAAAGGTTTAGTGACCCGTTGGTCAAAGGAAAGAAAAGGTCTTGATTTCGAGACAGGGATAAATGATATTATAAAGAATATAAAAATTAGATAAGTTGATGATTTTGATACTATCGTTATAAATATTTGGAAGTTTCATGGAAATTAAGAAGTGGTAGAATGTTTGATAAGTGAAGAAAAAGTATCCATAGTTTGATTTTTAAGAACAAATGAGTAATTCAAAGTTATGTAAACTATCATGATATTAAATTTACGAGTCATATGATTAAAATCTAGGAAAAGGTGATGGAATGTAGACCTAGAAACAAGACAAAAGTGAAAGAGAACCTATAAGAGTATGACAATAGAAATAAGCCAAAGATGGATGTCGCGTGGATATAAATGTTAAGATTGATGTGTGGACATATATAATAGAGATACAATGCACAAATGTCGCTCTAATGGTTTGGAAATGCTATGCCGACCTTTAGATGCACTGTAAGTGTGAAACTACGAAAAGTGAAAGTGTACGTTATAAGGGAATTTGATAGATTAAACATCAGATAAATGAAAATTATTTCGAAAGACCAATAAATCTCTAGAATTAATGTAAGATAATGATCCATGTAAGTAATAGTATCTACTAGCTGAAGATAGATTGCAAAGTTGCTAGAGAACTTTTAATATGATTAAAGTTATCTCTATATGATCTATAGGTTATGAGTTTGAGTTAAATTTGTGAAAACAAATATTAATGCTTGTATTAGAATAATCTGAATATATCACACCTCTTAGAGTGGAAGTTTTTTTTATCATATTAACACGAGATATTTTGTATCCAATCAAGTTGTCATTCATTATTATCTTATATTTTTTTTATATAAGTTTGTATAGTAAAGATATTAAAGAAAAAAATGAAAAATTGTATTTATTATTTTAATTTATTTGAAATTGAGACGTAGATATTATGGTCTCGAAAATCCATAATCCCATTTATGTAACGTGGGCAAGATGTCACGTCCCTCTCTTTGGCGATTGCTACTAATTTTGCAAAGGAGGGAACATTAAATATGTCAATCACACTTAAATATTTTATTTGTTCAACAAATAATTATTTATGGCTCTCTCAAAATATCCTTCCAATTGCTTTATCTTTGCTAGGTCCCATCACTTAAATTTTCTTGTTCACTTCAAGTTATATTTTCTTGTCTTGATTTTATATAATATAATTTTATTTAAAAAGTACTCTTTTTGTTCTATTTTATGTTATATTTTTCATTTTTTAAGAGTTAAACATTTTAATTTGATTGAGTATTTATGTATGTAATTTTCAATTTTTTTAAAATAAATTTTATATATTTGTAACTATGTAAAGAGTATTACAAGTCACAATAATTCAAAATGTTAAAAAAATCTATGAAAAACTTACGATCAAAGATAGGCTTGTTTGAATCTCGAAATGCGAAAAATGTCATATCAAATGAAAAGGAGGAAGGAATATAAAAAATATATATTTAAAAAAATTACAATTTGTAGTCTTGTAGTGCACTCATTTTCGTAACAAGAATAAATGATGCTCCATTTTGACTCGAGATCCAGATTTACAAGTTTCCCTAACAGCAACATTAAGCGGCAGGAGATTGATTGAAAAGTCAGACCCAACCAATTTATTTCCTAACCACCTATCTGTTCGTGTTCGTAGCTTGATGACAGGTCAAGACTGTAGTTCAACGAAAAAACAATAGTCATTTATATCATATCATACGTGAATAGCTCACAAGATTTTATCTTCTTAAATTTTGTGTCATAAGTTAAACAATAAAATTGATGTTGTAAAGGATCACTATCAACAAAGAAAGAAGTTCAAATCATGCTATTTTCAGCTCTTAATCAAGTAGTTACTAACTTGTATCTAACAAGTTGAACAGAAAAAAAAAATCTTTAGACAAGAAACATCAAGTGGGACACAATTGTAGGAGACAGGAGAAAAAAATGAAGAAATTAATAAAGAGAAAAATAAAAATTGAACTAGGTCAATTCTAGCTGTAAGCAAAAGTAAAACAATAGTAGGATGAACGAGATTTCTTTATTCTTAATCAAAATTTAATTTATAGAAAAATGATAAAGTTTTTTCTTATTTTTATTTTACTTTATATAATAATGTAAATTTAGATTAATGAAAACTTTAAAAGCTAGATGGTTATTATTAAAAGGATAAAAAGGTAAAAGAGTTTTTGGATTGATGATTTTGTGCTTTGTGGGCTGTACACAAGAGGTGCAGCATAAAGAGAAAAAAAGGTGGCAGTAATATATTGATGAGGTCACAAAAAGCTTTTAATCTAACAGTGGGGCATCAAAGGGTTCTTACCTTTAATAAGTATGTGTGACAAATTTTTTGATTTTTTTAAGTTTAATATTCACGTTGAAGTTTGACTGATTCAAATTTATGCTATATACAAATTTTATTGAAAAAAAATTATTTTTTATTAAAAGAATTTTCATATTTAAAGCTCAAATATGAAATTATAAGAGCAGTTTCATCTACTATATCATAATCATTGATGGAAGTTTGATTGATTCAGATTTATGTCATATATAAGTTTTATTGAAAGAAAATTATTTTTTATTAAAAGAATTTTTTATATTTAAAGTTCAATATGTGTATCATAATTGTTGATTGAAGTTTTACTGATTTAAATTTATGCCGAATAAAGTTTTATTGAAAGAAAATTATTCTCTATTAAAAGAATTTTTTATATTTAAAGTTTAAATACAAAATTATAAAAACAGTTTTATCTACTGTATCGTAATCGTTGATGTTTGAATATGGAGAATTGAGAAAAAGTAAAGTAACACAATGTACTAAAACTTTTTGTTTGAAACCTATAATAACGATACTTTATCATATAATATTAAAATACTGGTATTCAAATAAAATTTAGGGATGAATTTTGTATTTTTGAATTTTTATTTGGCCATGTTTGTTGTCATTATTTTTCTAAGAACACAGTACATTTACTTCTCCTGAGAAACTTTTTTTTAAAAAATATTACCTTAAACTGTCATCTTCAAAATTTAACACATATTATTCGAATATAAATGACGAAAAAATAACATAAATAGTCTCTAACTATAGGAGTATATTTAAAATGATTCTTTAATTATACGCTTAACAGATGTATGTAATCCTTTAACTATTTAAAAATTGTTATTATTTTTGGACTTTTAACTATACACTTAACAGTTTTAGTTTCTTAACCATAGAATTACATATTTTAATCTTCTAGTACTCAAAAACTTATCTGATTTGATTTTTTCCCATTTTTTAATATAAATAGCTTTAAATTTATATCATTTTCTCTTTGAATGACCATCTAAATTTCTAACTTCTTAATTAGAGCTCTACAAATATATTTTTCTCTTTCTCAGGAGAACGCAAATTTAAATTAATCCGATCAAAACATGAAATACACAAAACAAACATCAAGGTCTCATATATACATCAGGCACCCTTCCTTACTCGCTCTGTCTTGTCGCTATCTCTGTCTCTTAAGCATTCTTCATTATTTTCAAAGTTTTTAACTTTTGTTTCTTATTAGCAAAAAAAAAATTGTATTTCTCATTATATTTATGCTGTTTTAACTAAGTACAAAATTACAGAAATTCATAGAGAGTTGCTTTCTTTGACACACCAAAAATTCTGTTAAAAAGAAGAAACAGAATGGGTTAGGCTAAGCTTATTCTTGTTTTTTTCTTTGATTTTTTTTTCTTCTTCTTGTTCTAGCATTACAAAGCTGGATCCTCATAAGAAGAACAAAAAGAATCATAATTATCAAAATGTAGAAGAAGATGAGGAAGAAAAAGAAAAAAATCAACCACAACCACAGTTTTTTCAATTTCAACAACCTTTTACTCATCATGATCATTTTATGTATGAAGATTTAGATACCATCAAACAACAACAAGAACAAGCTCGATCGAAGAAACGTTCGTTTTTTCCTCCTCCTCCTCCTCGTCCTTCTTGCTCGAAGCAAAAAGGTGTAACATCGTCAAAATTTGGTTGTGGAGAGATTGTTGAGGTACAAGGTGGTCATATCATAAGGTCCATTGGTCGAAAAGATAGACACAGCAAGGTGTGTACAGCTAAAGGTCCAAGGGATAGGCGTGTGCGCCTTGCTGCTCATACAGCGATTCAATTTTATGATGTACAAGATCGACTTGGCTATGATAGGCCAAGTAAAGCTGTGGATTGGCTTATAAAAAAAGCGAAAGCTTCGATTGATGAGCTAGCTGAATTGCCTCCATGGAAACCAACTACCACTGGTGTTGATCATGCTCTACAGGATGATATTGATGTTGGAACTGCTAGTACGATAATGTTAGGGCAGAACAATAGCGCTAGCTCAAGTGGTGAAAATGTGAATGCGAATACAAAAGCAGATGGCAGTTTTATGCCTCATTCTTTAGATTCTGATGCGATTTCTGATACCATCAAATCATTTTTCCCAATGGGAGGTAGTGGTTCAAATGAAGGTAATTCTTTCCAGAGTTTTCAACAACATAATTTGATGTCAAGAAGCCAAGATTTGAAGCTTTCTTTACAATCTTTTCAAGATCCACAAGCTCAGTTTGAAGCATCAAATTTCTTTACTGGATTTGATGCTTCAGTGTGGCCTCAGCACCAGCAGCAGCCGGTTGAACTTGGTCGACTGGCGGCTGCTCGTGGAGACATTGGTGGCGGGGCAATTGCTGGAGCAGGTAGTTATCTGTTTAACTCTCAGCCTGCCCCGCCGCTATTACAACAATTGTTCACTCAAAATCAGTTTTTGTCTCAGAGGGGACCCCTTCAGTCCAGTTACTCACCTTCGATTCGTGCATGGATAGATCCATCAGCGATTGCTATCGCCACAGCTGATCCAATTCACCAAAACCAAAACCATCATCAAGCTGTGTTTCCTATGTATTCAACATCACTTTCTGGCATCGGATTCGCCTCAGAATTAGGCGGATTCTCTGGCTTTCGCATTCCTACACGAATCCAAGGTGAAATAGAGGAGGAGCATGATGGTGTTTCCGACAAACCATCCTCTGCTTCCTCTGATTCTCGTCATTGAATCAGCTCGGAAACACAATCTCCCATTATAACCTGACAGGTAATTAAATCAATTCACCATTTCAAATTCCATTGTATTCTACCAGCATTAGTTTACTGTTACATTGACCTTAATTTTCAGGAACAAGTACTATATTTGAAGATGGAAATGGGAAAAGACAAGTCAGGGAAAGCGCGATAATCCATTTTTATCGAGTCTGATTCAGTGAGAATGCACCGCGGAAGAAGAATCCTGAGCATAGTTTCAGGTTTTTTTCTAAGATTAAATAGCGGTGTAATGTTCATGTATAAGTGTGTTTTTCTGTTGCTAAGTTGTTGTTGTTGTTGTTGTTGTGTGCTTATTATCTTCAGTTCATTAGAACAAGTAATTTTCTCTTGAATGACAATTATTATCAACCTGATTGATTTGGTATATACATTGTGCCCTATTAAGTTTCAAAATATGAGATGCTTGTCGATGAATGGAATGACTATGTTGCTCAGACTCTATAAATCATGTCAGATCCTTTATAAGTCCGCAACTTTTAGAGGGGATTAGACACTCATTCATTGATATTTTTGAAGAGTCTGAGCAACGTAACATATCAGGAATTTCTTTCTTTTGATTGATTGATTGGTTGGTTGTTTTTTTACAACATTCTAACTTGAAATATTTCATGTTTGAATGACTTCTATAAGTCCTCTAAAAGGAAATGAAAGTTACCTTACATCCCTATCACTACATTGCATGGAGTTTTGGGAGATCATTAAAAGTGTAAAGTCATTTTCTATGAACAGTTAAAAAGTAATTAAGGTGTGGGTTTTAGAAGACTTGTCTTATGGCTTAGCTTCTTCTTTAAATTTCTTATTGAAGTAACTTAAATTCTCTTAACCATAAACTGAAATATTTTCCCTCTAATATCATAGGTCGAACAAATAGATACACACGCCATATATAACTGTTTCAACTTTATACGAATTGAAGGGCATAAATATCAGTTAAAAATTCGATATACAATATGTGGAATGAGAATTTTGTAGCTGTCAATTGGAAAACCTTATGATGTGATTTATCATGTCATGGAAAATAGAGGGCTTATTTCGTAGCAGCAACATGTCCTCCAATTCTTCAGTAGTGGGGTTAGTCACTGCACGTGGATAGAAGGTTGTAGCTAAGTGTGTGGCCTAGTGTCAGTTAATATCTAGTAGAGACAAAAACAAAATATAGGCAATTAATTCCTTCTTATTTACTTTTGAAAAATTTGGTAGATAGAGATTTTTTATTTTTGTTTTTTATATCTAGAGAGAATAAGTAGGCACGATACATAAACATGACCCTTAATTTGGCGTCAGTTGATAAGTATAATTCTTAATTTTAGATGTGCACAAGTAAATATTTAAACTTGTATAAAATTGAACAAATTGACACATTCGTCCTACATGACAATTTTGTGTCTTGTGTGGCGTCCTACATATATCATGTCATGTAGGACACGTGTGTCTATTTCTTTAATTTTATACAAGTTTAAGTGTCTACTTATGCACATCCAAAGTTAAAGATCATAATTGCAAACTGACGCCAAGTTAAGGATCATATTTATGTATCATGCCTAATAAATATCATGAAATTAATCGAAGTTATTGATAGGTGATGTAAATTAATCAAGGTTAGTGTACACGAATAGAGTTACACACTATATGTATTTTTGAAGAGAGAAAAATTATAGTATAAATTAATCAAGATGTGTCCAAGTCAATATGAAGATCAATGAATAGAGGTATTTGATAAGAAAGTACTACTTTAGTGGAAGACCAATTAACACCCCTTAACTAGGTTTATAGGTAAGTGCAAGTTGATCCGAATACTGAATGTTTAATAATATTTGTGTTGTCCAGAGATATATCATGTATAAGACAAGGTAGTCGATCTCATCGAATACCAATAAATACAATTATTTGATATAAGTAAATTAATCGAGATCAATGTGAATTGACTCAACCATCAATAAACAGAGTTATTCAGTATTTATATTATTAGGAGGTCCAATGTATAAGATAAATTAGTCGATGTCATCAAACACTAGTTAATACAAAATTATTCGATATATGTAATATTGGGACATATCAATATCGATAAATAGAGTTACTTGATATTTGCATTTGGCGATAGAATTAAGTGGGGCTAGCTAGAATTGAATCAGAGAGTGAAAGAATGCAATCAATTTCTTTTTAAAAAGATGAAACATAAGTTTTTATAGTGAAGAAACTAGAGAGGCAGATACCACCAAAAGCATGGTACTTTGCAATGAATTTTTTTGTGGCCCTTTTATTATACTGCACAGCTCATTAGTGTCATAAAAAATCTGTCTAGCTGTATGTCATGCCTCTTTTTTTTTATTTGTTATTGTTTGTCTCTTTACAGGAAAAAATTAAATTCATTTAGAACTCATAACTTTTATCAAGATAGTGACCATTGCTTAATGGTTGTTGTCTCTTATTTATGATGATTGATGAGTTACTCCCTCCGTCTTCCGTTTCATATTAATTGATCATATTTCATTTTATATGATGTTTAAGAATTCATAATACAATGATATTTCATTTTACAAACAGATGTGATCATGTGAACAATTTTTTTTAAAAAAAATTGCAAGGGTAATATATATAAGAAAAATTAATTAATGTTTTCTTGATTTAGTAAAGTAGACAACTAATATGAAATAATTCACTTTTAGTATAATGATCAACGAGTATGGAACGGAGGCACTACTCTTCATAAGGCAAGAATGATATATATTCATGAGAATGAAATTTTTATTATTTTAGTTTAAAAACTTGAGCATGATTAACTTAGATTTCTAAAATAGTTATGAGAAAATTTCATGTATAGCAATACTTCCGTACCTAATTAAGCATAGCTATAGTTTGTATATTTATGAAACGTAATATCTATATAATATTTCTATAGAAGAATACATTATATATGCGTGTGTAACAATAAAGAACTATATTCATATATATATTATCTGTGTCTTATGTATTTGTGTGTATCTGCTATAAAAATCTCAAACTATCGTTATATTATGTAAAAAATTTAAACTACCTATTAGCTATTCAAATAAATATAGGGACGACTTAGTTTGATATGCCATGTAAGTTTTCATATTGGTTGAATATTGTTGTTTAACCATTCAAATATCTAAAGTGCATTTGTCCGACTAATTTAGATTTGTGTCGAGTAGACTCACTATTGGAAATAAAGACCAAATCTAGGATTTTAATTTAATGTGTTCAATCTTTTATATTTTTTTTTATCACTAGACCATTACGAGAGTCCGGAGCCTAAATGGTATAAAATATTAATAAAAATTTCAAAATGTTATATAAAATTTTATATTAACCAAAACGGTAAAATTGCTGGAACAATAGCGATTTCCTCCGCCGGAAAAAGCAAAATCGCTGCTACTGCAGCGATTTTGCAAAATGTGATTTTTTTTATAAAAAAAAATTCAAATGAAGATGTGTGCCGTCGATTTTCATGAATTTTTTTTTTAAAAAAAATTATTATTATTTTTTTAAAAAAAATGAAAATCGCTGCTAATTTCTTGAAATATTTTTTTTCACATTTTGCAAAATCGTTGCTATTTTTCTTTTTCCAGCGGAGGAAATCGCCATTGTTCCAGCGATTTTACCGTTTTCTTAATATAAAATTTTATATACCGTTTTAAAATTTTTATTAATATTTTATACCTTTAGGCTCCGGACTCATCGTTATAATGCTGAGACTATGAGTTCAAAAAGTACTAGAGTATAGTATTGTATAAAATCTAGTGATTCTGCACACATATCTGCATTTTGTGTTGAAAATGTTGGTTTTCAACATGAAAGCAACATAAATATTATACTCAAAACTATTGTCTTTGGGAGGACAATTTTTCTCTTCATATAGCAATAAAATATAATAGAAGTACTATGATTATTATAGTGCAAGTGCTTGGGATGTCATATATTTGTTGGTATCAAAATGGACAATTAAGAAATTGTAATGTTTATATAATGGAGTCATGACCAATATGAATATATATATAGTCACATAAAAACAACATAAAACAAAAAATTACATAGAAACAAAGTTTCCATCACCACACTAAAATATACAAAGCCAAATTAATTAATAATAAACATGTCAATCGACCAAAAAAAAAGTATAGATATTCAAGTAGTAATAAGTAGGTTGAGTTTGCCCAATCAAATATTAGGCTCTTGAGAAACATGATTTTCATTAGTAGTGATGGACAATTTTCTTCCTCTTGTAGATTCTTTTCCATTTCAAATTAATGATTTTTTATTGACACAACTAGTTTCATAGGTCCCAAATTTGTAGCTTTACTAGTTATCTTGGCAACTTGTTGAGAGTGAGAGGTTTTTGGAACAATAGGGTTTGTTTGAACTCTAGTCTCCCATGGTCGAACCGCGATCCAACGTTCCATCCAACTCCAACCCCAACTCTCCTTGCCAAGATCATAATATGCTTGTCCAAAATATTTATTCGAATTGGCTCTCCACTGAAACATGTATAATGTTGAAATCAAAATAATCAGATATCACGTAAAAACAACTCAAATATTAGATAATGATGATAGATCACGAGAGGGAGATATTAGAGGAGAGAGACAAATTTAGAGCCTATTTGGATTGGCTTAAAAAGTTGGTCAAATATATTTTTTAGTCAGTTTTTGAATTTTGCAGTGTTTGATAAAATATAAGAAATAACTTAAAATAAGTTGCGAGTGTTTAACAAAGTAAAAAATAACTTAAAATAAGTCAAAAACCAAAAATAGGTGTCCATCTATTTTTTATTTTTTGACTTAAAAGTCATTTCACTTTGATTTTTTATTTTTAACTTAAAAACTACTTTTTTAAAAAGCCAATTCAAATAGACATTTAATGTGTTTCGATCAATTAACCTACAACTAGAAGATAGATCATTAATCAACTATCTTTTAAATAATAGAAAGACAATATAAAATTGAGAGAATACCCTCATAAAATTCATTCTCAAAGAGTCCACACAAGTGAAGGCTAATACTTGTGTCTACATAGTGAACACTATCAAGTGGGAAAAAAAATTCTTACCAAAAAAGGAAAAGGATGAATATAATAGATTTTTATATTCCTTGACTTAGAATGATAAAAATTAATTTTGATAGACATATTATTTTTCTTTAATAAAAATATATACGTATTAAATATGATAAGAAAATCAGGATAGACGAAAGGGTCATAGCTAACTTGCCTGATGAGAAAATGCATATGCCATTGCCCTCTCCCTCTTAGTTGCAGCTTCTTCTCTTTGTTGTAATTTTTGTAGTATTTCTTCTATGGTTTCAGCACTACTACTCCATTCCACCTATTTATCAAATCAAAATTGAGTGACCATTTAAGTGGTCTAGCCATAAATAATTAAAGATGATTAATGTATGATCAGTTAAATATTTTTCGTGAGGAAATTTATTGTATACACATGTCAAAGTAAAATTATTGAAAAATTTTAACGAAATTTTTGACTTTAGCACCGACTATCTCCAAAGCAACTACTTAACTTCTTAATGAGAGTCAGTGTTCTTCGATCGATCTGAATTGAATTTTTAGTTTGTTTGGCCAAATTTTACCCGCTTATACAAATGTTTTTGATGAGAAACAATTTGTGTTTGAGTAATAAATTTAAAAAGTATTTGTGAGCAACAATTAGCGTTTGACTAAGTTCTGATAAAATATTTTAAAGTGTATTTTCGCGAAAGTATTTTTCAATAATATACAAAAAAATTTTTTATAGAAGTTCACTAATCAACAATAATATTTAAATAACTTCTAAAATATATATAATTTTAAAATCAATGACTCCATAATTTCGAAGAAAATCATGTATACATAGATAATGTATACATCTTGAGAAACTAACAGAAATTGAAATATAATTAACAGTGTATCCATGAGGAGTATAGGAGTGCAAGTGTATTGTAGGTACAAGCTAAAGTCTTATTTCATCATTGTTATTATTATAAATTTATTTTAAAAACTCATAAATTCTGAATTCGTATCTGATATCGTATACTAAATGCAAACTTAACTTGCAATCCACATGATGACACCCTAAGAATGTGATAAGTTATTTGTTGTTGTAATAAATGGGACAGGCCAGGGGGGTTATGGTTGTGTTGTGAACAAGACAATATGTAGGAGTGGGAAGTGAAAGGGAGGTTATTATAACAAGACAAATTTTGATCAATAGATGGGATGACAGAAAATTCAGAAGCATAATTGAGATACATTAGTTTCATCATTATTTATTAGAAATAATACTAATAAAAACTCAATTTATTAGTCTCATTAGTTTGTCTTTCTCTTAAATCCTATAGATAACATATAAATACATCATTATAGATAATAAAAAAATATAGTTTTTTTCATCGTAATATGATGACTAGGGTTGTGAACACACATAAAATTTATCTGCTTCGTTCAAATATTTGGATTTAAGTTATGATTATTATAGGTTCTCTCTAATCCCTAAAAAAAAATCTCTCCTAACTAGTGCTAAACAAATATAAATACTACTATTCTAAAGTTAAAAATAGGATAAACTTTGAATAGATTGAATTGATCGTTAATCAAATATTTTCATATTTGAACAATGAAGACATAAAAGTTTACGATAATAAGTGACCCCTTGATGGGGTAAACTAAAATTAATCAAACCAATAAATTCCAAATATTGATTAATTAAATATATATGCCTCTTGAAAAAACAAAATAGCTTAAGAAATATCTCCCTAATAAAAAATGATTATATGAAAAAGAAGTAGCCTAAAAAGAAACAAGAGAAACCAGATAAGCTTAATAGAAACAGCCATATAATTCAAAAAAAAAAAAAAAGAGAAGTGATTGATATAGCCTATAGGAATATCAATTATTGTAAGGGTTTTAATTATTTTGTTGGTTGTTGTCTTTTCATGCCTTAAATGGGGCAATTATTTAAGTTAAGAATTTTGAAACATTCTTTTGCAAAAAAAAAAGGCAAAATTGAAGTTGAACAAGTCTTTAGTATTATAAGGTGTTTTTTCATGAAATAATTAAGTTTAATTTAACTCACAAGTCACAAATTTTCTAAATAAAGCTATGGAACATATTATAATTTTTTTCCCACAAAATGAAGGTGGTATATAATTATTTTTTTTAAGTACAAGAAATGGTTAATAAAGGAACCAAAAAAACTTTAAGCGAAATATGCTTTTAAAAAATATTCTTCTCTATATTAAATTCAGTATAATCTTACAAGTAAAATATGAGAAGGATGGAGTGCACACAAACCTTATTATTTGAATGTAAAGAGGTTATTTTCAATTTACCAGTGATTTAAAATAAATGATTCTAAAAACGAATTTAACAAATACAAAAGTAAAATATTACACGCTATACTTTATTTATGAAAAAAATATTTGCAAAATACCCGACAAGTAAGCAAGTTGTATACCATTAAGTAAAATATTACACTCTATACTTTATTTATGAAAAAAATATTTGCAAAATACCCGACTAGTAAGCAAGTTGTATACCATCAGTGTATATATAAATAATACGATTTAGTTATTTTTATTGTTGAAGTATACAAAATGTGAATTGTATATCACATGAAAATTTTGGGGACGGAATTAAGCCCAAAATTTATATCTTCACATGGTATCATAGTCGAATAGGATCCAGCCCAATTAATGTTCAATAATGATGGGCTTTAAATTGCTCAGGTACCAGATATTCAGTCTTAGGCGTGAAATAAGGTGTTAAAAAGTCACGCATTAGATGAAAAAGGGATGGATGATATTTTTATGTAGACTTAAACAATTTTTAGGTGTTAAGGTGTTAAGGTGACTTAGGCGTGAAATAAGGTGTTAAAAAGTCACGCATTAGATGAAAAAGGGATGGATGATATTTTTATGTAGACTTAAACAATTTTTAGGTGTTGAAATAGCTTTTGGGGGCTGAGTTAAGTCTTGACCCATTCTTTCAAGGAAATCCACCCGCCCCCTCCCCTAATTAAATACGAAGTGATACACTAAATTTTGTTACGCGTACAATATAAGAAAAAACTGAACCGCGTGAAGTTTTTTTTTTTTTGTTTGCTTGTTGCATATAAATTGATTATCCAATTTAGATCTATAAGCTCTTAATTATACGACAACAACTTTAACAGTTACCTCAAGCTCGTGAAGCTTAGCCTCAAGTTTTTGTTGATTTTGAATTTTCTTCTGTTTATTGTGGCCTTGAGTCACCATATTGAGTCGTCTAGCTCTAATCTCTGATTGTATTTTGCTCCAACAATGTATTTGCTTCAAAGTCCCTGATATTTGGTTATTTACACTTAGCCCTTCAATTACACCTTGAAATCTCACTGCACCCCTAACGCGCCGTAGAGTTTTTCTTGCCTACATATTTAACATTAAATTAAATATTCAAGAACTGTACGAAAAATACTACACTAGGTCAGCACCTAACGACATAGTCTGTTGGCCTAGACATGCAGTCGAGAGGTAACATTGCACTATGTGGGATGAAAGTACTTCATCCATCCATTTTTATTTGTCATGTTGCGCTTTTCGAAAGTCAATTTGACTAATTTTCAAAAATAAATTAGATTACATCAATTTGATATTTCAAATAAAAAAATTAAATATTCAAAAACTTTATGAAAAGTACTATAAATTGCAATTTTTTGCATATCAATATGACGAAAAAATATATTTTAAAATTTGAATCAAAGTTTTTATAATTTAACTCTAAAATAGAAATCATGACAAACAATATTAGACGAAGGGAATATATCATAAAGGTTATTTTTGGCAATGCCATAAAACAACATGGATATATTACGAAAGACGCACCTATACATCTAATTTAACTTTCAGATTGTGAAACGTGACAAATATTTTGGAACTGACCGATTATATAAAGAAGAATAGTTACCAAATGAGCTCTATAGGCAGTCTGAATTTTAGTGGCAGCAGTGTTGTGAGTAAATTTAGTCTTACAAGTAATCTTTTTTGAAGATGAAGTTCCATTTGAATAATGAGCACTAGGAACTTGAACATCTCCCTTTGGTTCATCAAATGCAGTGCTAGTACTTGTAATCTGCAAATTAAATGTCAATTATACCACTCAAATACTTTTATTTTTACGAAATTTTGTTCGATATGTATATACAGTACATTGAAAAGTCTTACATTAGAGGTAAAATGCTCTTAACAAATAAGACTCTGTATTCAAGTGGACTCTAATTTGAAACGTCTGATTAGCTAATTTCTTTGTATGTGTATTTATTCATATGTGGGTTTTTCGAAAGGATAGGCTTGCGGTGTTGGGGGGGGGGTAAAAATATTTTCTAAACTATTCAAAATAGGTTAATTTTAATCCTCTATTATATTTTTGACTTCAGAATACAGTCGACATTAGCGAACCAGCAAAATAGTTCAAAAATACTTTCTTTATTGGCGATTATTTCAAAATAAGGAAAAATAAATTAATTTTACCCTTAAACTATTCGAAATCGAGACAATTTTGCTAGGTCTTTTTAAAGTGCAAGGAAGTGAATAGAGAGAAATGTAGGTACCTTGAGCTGTTTGGATTTTCTTCTTTTGTTCCTCTTTAGCCCAATCATTGTTTTCAAGCAAAAACCCATAGTATATAATATTGAATGATCAAAATTCACAATATAACATATAGTTTCATACCTCAGAACTTATAATAAGCATATCATAAAGATCTTTGGTTCATTGGTTGAGTTTGAAGTTATTTAATTCTCAAATTTTTTTTGTGATGAAATTGAAATAAATTAGAAAGGAGGTAGGTGATCTTTTCTTTTCTTCAATTTATTTTTTTATATAATATATTTTTTAAAACAATATATGGAGTAGAAAGAAATGTAAATGTACTACTTTTATCACTCAAAAACTACATGCCAACTATATAAAGTTGAGTAGTCAATTTTTTAGGAGGTTGCTTCATTTTGTTCACTATGTTGGTGGCTTTACTCTATTCAATTTCAATCAAAAAAATCAATGTCTTACCCTCACACCACTAAATAAATTAATTATAGAAACTACCCTCAACTATTACTCTTACTATCTTAGTTTAGCTAACACTGTTTGAATACGTGGATAATATAAAATATAAATACAGAAGTAGATTTATGATTTGAACTTAAAAACCTTTTATATTCTGAACTTTAAGACAACGATTTCAAATGCTAGAACTGAGTTTAAAATTAAATGAAAACTTTAATATGTAAGTACCACTAAATAAGAATAAAAGAAAAACACACGAAACTTGTAATGTAAAAACAAAATTGAATGTATGATTTGGATTGGACAAAAACTATTGGGTTCGAAAAAGGCTACCTCTTAACCGCTAAATAAGAACAAAAGAAACATTTATGAAACTTGTAACGTAAAAACAAAATCTAATGTATGATTTGGATTGGACCAAAACTATTGAGTTCGAAACGAAAAATAAAATTGTATGATTTGGTCCTGGCGGGGCTCGAACCCGCGACCTTCGGCTCATAAGACCAACGCTCTAACCAACTGAGCTACAGGACCTTGTATATTTTGATAGAGTCATAATAGAATTAATTATTCTTAAATTAAGAATATCACACATGGAGATAATCATTTTTTAATCTTAACCAAAATATGTCAATAATTATTGTGTATTTGTTTAATAACACGTGATAATTGCAGTTTCACATCTCATCAGTCTAGTTCAACGTGAATTGCTAACTATTATAAAAATTGATCCTATTTAACTGTCAATTGTAAGAATTGATATTTATCATAACATATAGCAATTGCAACTAACATCTCATTAGTTGAGTTCTTTTCAGTATATGGGAATATAATAGCTAGTTATTTAGTGATTTAACTGTCAATTGTTATCATAGAATAAAAAAATCATAATCACTATTTGATTTTAAAACTTTTTAAAAATTGTATTGATTCACTTATTTTTCTGCCTAAAAGGATTTGGGTAACTCTATTGATAGCACAAGTGAATATCAATACCAAAGATGATAGAGGATAAACTTGCTAATACTTAGTTGTTTCAATTTATTTTACTGATTTTAATATAGTCGAAATCTAAAAAAGGTAATGAATTTTGTATTTATAAATTAAAAATAAGTATAATATACTAAAAAGACCGTTTAATCTTATAAGTTTAAAGTTTTGATTGGATTGATTTATGAATTTTGGTTTATTTTTATCTAGTTAGCTTAAAATCAAGTGCTTATTATATGCGTTTTTTTTTAATTTATTCAAATAACTCAAAAGTGTTTAAAAGCTATTTTTTACTTTAAAAAAAATAAAATAAACCAATCTAAACAGACACTTACGCGTATCACGTAGAAAGAAATTAAAATAAAAGATACTATCAAAAAAATAAAAAAATATTATTTTTTAAACGGATTAAAACGAAAAGTAATATAACCAGATCGAAACTAAAAAAGCATGGTTATCAAAGTCTCAATAATTGAATTATAAAAAGTAGAATAAGGACATAAGTATGAGAATATTGTATAGGTAGTAAATAGAGAATCTTGTGCATAGATGCAATATATTGCATATCTAACAAAATCTTGACACCATAAATACCAAAAAAGATGGTCATGTGTCATCAAAAGGGGTCCATTGAATGTGGCTTCTTGTTTGTATTGGCCCCTCTTCCCCACACACTTTTTTGTTTTGTTTCCTTTTACTCATAGATAGTTTGTTGAGCCTAAGGTGGCCCATTTTGAAAGCCAAAATCCAATGGTATATCACAATAAAGATCTTCATGACTCTATTTTTTGGTATTTTTTTCCTTATGAGAAAAATTACATTTTTGTGTCAATCAACCTAAATTATTATAGTATCAATTTTGGTTATTTACTTGATTCATCTATATTTCTTTTTCTTTGTTACGTAGCTCTTGGCTATTTTTCCTTCAGATAACATCATCATTATCACTATTGATTTTAGTTGCTGAAGTACTGTTGAAAACCTACTAAACTCAGTGAATTTAGAAGAAGATTTTGAGATCCGTTATTTTCGAGCTTGAACCTCTCATATATTAAAAAAATTGAAATTGTATAAGTGTTTTTATAATTTAAAGCGGTCGTCGATATGAAGTTTGTACGAAAAATTTGAACCGTCATTTGGGGTTGATATGAGATTTTCTAGTTGGAATTTTAAGTTGATCCATTAAAAGACGAATTGAAGCGTTGTTTTTATATATCATCCATGTATATTTATGTATATCAAGTATATTAGTGGTACTTGTGGTATATTTTCAAATCAACTTCAGTCTTCCTCAACTTTTATAGGAAAAATTATTGAAATACACGTCTTATATTTTTTCTTATTTTCAATATCTCCTTCTATTTTATAAAAACTTCTAAAATTCCTTATTTCTCTCCTAATGTATTTAATGGATCCGAACCAATATTTACTATATCTAAGCTACATATTATATATTCGATTTCTTTTTTAATGTATTCGAGGCTACATATTATGTATCCAATTTATGTTTTTGTAATTAGAAAAAAAATAGAAATAAAATGTAATTTTCTCTTTATACTATGTGATTTATGTAAATTATACTTTTTTATATATACTCTCATCTAGAAGGTTATCAAATTTTCAGTGGATCTCACCCACACTAAAAGAAACAATGGTTAAATAGGATTGTTAGGTTATTCACTTGTAAATAAGATTGTTAGGTTAATCAGTTATAAATATTTTTTTTATTGTCGTATATTTCTGAAACTTTCTTTTGATATCCAGTACATGAAATATATTGTCTGACTAATTTTATACCATATTGGATAAATCTATTAAGGAGAGTAAACATGCATTCATTTTCAGAGTTCAAACTTGAAATATCTGATGACTCTATGGGGTCAGACAAACCCTTCATCTCTCAATTTTCATTTTCACCCCTTTTATATACCCTTTTACCTCACTTGGATTTGATGTCCTTTTGGTTACTTTGTATTTATGTAAATAGAAAAAAAAGGGAAGCCCAAAGTAGTTGTTTTTGGGTTTTGCAAGGATCCACAAGGGAATGTATTAATTCCATATATAGAAAGTTTTCTACAATGTAATCTTTGCCTAAAATTGCTAAACAACTTGGGATGGGCTTTAATAAATTGCTTCAACAAATCCATCTCATATGGACTAAAGAGGATATAATTAAATGGTTGTTCACATACAAAATATCCTTTCAATCTTTTAGTCAAAACAAGTAATTAATCTTTGCACAAATTAAAGTTAATTAAGTAGAATAGATATTATAATTGAATAATATAGTATAGTTTGGAAAGTATCCACACATGGAAACCTAGCACAATATTCCAATTAAAAATATTGTGGGGAGCATTTAATAAATGTGAAAAGTGTATCAAGCATTGTATTAAGTAAAAGGTTAAATATATAACCAGATCCCTAAATTTGTTGGGTTTTTTCTCTCGGGTACCTCAACTACGTCATTTTCTTATTAAATCTTTGAGCCCCCATAATTTGTTCCATTTAAACAAACACCGTTGTCTGATGTGGAACCAGATCCATGGTTCCACAACTCATTAGTCCAATTGATAGTGAAAATGTTCGAGAATAATTGTATTTTACTTAAGTCATTTGAACAAATTAGAAAACAAATGAGACTAACACGGTTTGTCTTCATTCATTTAATCAAAATTATTACAATTCGAACACAATTGAAGGCATTTACAATAGAAAAGTCGATCAAAATCAACCAACAGTGTTTTAAAGGAACAAATTATGTGTGATTCAATGATAAATAGAAAAATGACGTAGTTGAGGTACCTAAGGGAAAAAACCCAACAAATTTAATAATCTGTTTATGTATTTGGCCTAAGTATAAAATTCCAATATACGCACTTAATATCATAAGATATAAATGACATTTTAATACATATGTATAATTTTAGCGTAAAATCACATAATTAAAAAACCTTATATATTTTCGTAAATACGATGTCAATCAAGCTATTTTGATTAAACTTTTAAAAATTACTATTTTAAAAAATACTATTTGTTGGTCAAAATAGCTTTCCAAAAGTACTTTGGAGAGAAGCTGTTCATATTATCAATTTATTTGAGTACTATTACTTTTAGTATTTTTGGAAATAAATTGTGGCTAACCAATTTGTTTTAAAAAAAATACTTTTGACGACAAATTACAAAAAAAGATTATAGAACTTTGTGGTTCATTTTACAATTAGTATTAACAAAATAAAGAAACAATTTTATTATATAAAAGTATGTAATTACATTTTTGTTTTTATTTGGTTAGAATTTATAACATAAGATGAAAGTATATATTGTGATTGTTAATCAATAACAATATAGTTTATACTTTTTGAAATATGTATAAAGATTAAATCAGTGAAAGATAATTTTGAAAAATAAAAATTTCTAGTAAGAATATTTTATCACGAAGAAAAAAATCTTTTTTTTTTACTTTTTATATGAAGCAGAAATCTATAACGTTTTCTTAAATCATATTAAAGTATTCCAACTTCTATTCAAAAGCACGTATAGTTTTCAAATTAAAACCTTAAACAAATTTAATTTTTCAGAAATTAAACAAAATATACTATACGACATATAAAATAAAATAAAAAAAAATACTTTATTTATTTTCTAAAATAAAAAATATTTTAGATCAATTTTTCTTTTTGGCTGAAGTGGGAAATTAAAATGAGCAGAGAGAATATTTGTTAAGAATCTTTTCAAGTATTTATTAAGTACTATCTATAATGAACAAAATCTTGTACATCAAGATCTTTTATTGAAAATCGTATAATTTGATTGTGATGAATGAAAAATCTTATTAATAGTATCGTTTTTATAAATAAATTTTATATTACATGAATTTAAATCTAATCACACTTTAATTTAGAATTTAGATATCAAATATCTAGTAATTTTTTTAAAAATATATATGCATTGATTGAGATTTCATAATGGTGATTCTTTTAAAACACATTTAATGAAAGAATTTTTTTTTACGAGTTGAATAGTATAATATTTTAATCAAAGAAATAAAATATTACTTTTAATAATAAGTAATTATTATAAATAAATATAATTACTAACAATTTAACTTTAAAAATATTTATTTTATAGCTACATATGACTTATTTTAGATCATAGTTTTTTTTTTGTTTTTTAAAAAATTCATTATAAATCAAATTAGCTAACATAATTTTTCTTATTTAGGCTCAAATATGTTATCTAATTTATTTTTTTTTAAAAATAACTCAAGTAAATTATTTTTTTTTATAAATTTGTGGCTTTTATTCGAATATATATATATTTTTTACTTTTTTTTCACTTCTCCTGTCTATCAATTTTTTTAACGGGTGTGTCGAGTCAATATTTATTCGTATAGTTTTGTTTTTTTTAATGTAATAAAAAACTTAGAGCGCGATATAGTCTTCATTTGTAAGAGTAAAAAAAAAACAGAGCATTTGAGGAAAAGAGCAAGAAGAGTACTTGAGAGTCGGGAAAAATGGAGTCGACCGATAATTTTGGCCGATAAATTTGATTGCCTGAATCTTATTCTCACAAATTCCGTATTTTTAGCTTCCTTTAGATTTCCATTTTGAAAATTTTGAAAAAAATAATAATTTTTTTTCTTATTTTACTGATCTGATCTATTTACAGACAACTGGTTATGAGAAAAATCCGAATATCTCACTCAGATACTCTTCCTTTGCTCATTATAGTTTGCTTTTACTGTATCTGTATTTGTACATTTTTGTGTAAATAAGATCCAATTTATATAGATTTGTTTGCTGAATTATGGGTTTTTTTTTTTGGTATATTTATTTATTTATATTTATCTCCATATAAGTTGCAGATCTTGACTTGATGACCTACAAGATTTCATGTAACGTACAAATGAGGAATTGGGTTTTTTTTCTTCTCCTTGAATTTGGCTTCTTTCTGTATTTTCTTTGAATTTTTCCATTTGGGGTTTTCTTTCCAAACCCTCAAAGATTAATTGTATTGTTTAGAGGAATTTATATGGTTATAATGTGGTGGATGGATTCAATGTCTATATATATATATATATTTATATTTGTCCTTTAGGTTTTACTTTTAAGTAGTAGTAGTAGAAGTATATAGTTGTTTTTTTCTTGATCTATGAAGCCAAAGCCGAAGACGAACATAATGGTGATAGAGGAACATACCCTTAAGTGTAGTAATAGTAGTGGTGGTGGTGGTGGGGATGGGGGTGGTGGTGGTGGTGGTGGTTCAAGTGGTAGTGGTGGTGCTACGAGTAGAGGATCGAAAAAAGTGAAGCAGAAAAAAATACCACAAAGAGGACTTGGTGTTGCTCAACTTGAAAGGATTAGAATGGAAGGGGAGAAAAAACATGAAAAAGATGCAAACTTTCAAACACCTAATGTTTTGGTACCAAATTCAGTTCATTCTACCAAAACTATGTCAAAATGCTTAGCTGTTGAAGGTTCTAGTTTTAGGCCTAGTTCAATCACTTTACCACCACCATCAACAATGGATCTGCTTTCGAAAAATAGTGTCTTTAGACCAGATCTGTCTGCCTTAGTTCTTGATGGTTTCCGTCCCAAGACTTTACAATCATCAAAACCAATGAACATGGGTGGAGGGGAGTTAAGTTGGTCGTCTGTTTCGGGTCCAGGGAGTGATAAATGTCCTAAATTGTGGAGTTGTGAGTACAGTCCTGAAAGAGAAAGCAAACAGGGAAATCGTCATGGTGTTGTTTTCGGGGCTAATGTAGATTTGCCAAATGAACTGCATAACCCCATTTTACCTCTACCCAGTGTGCTGCAAAGATCACAACAATATCAGCAACCTTCTTGTTCTTCATCAATGGTAAGCAAGTTTATTAATTTAGTTGCAATGTTATATATCATCGTTGGATTATCAAGTCTATAATTTTGTTTTGATGTGTTTGAAATGCTCTGATTATATCACTTTGTGGTAACTGCAGATGAATATCTCATCAGGGATTTCATCATCATCTGTACTAAATTATCAGATGGAGCCCCCTTCAAACCAAAATTATTATTCGTGTAATTATTTACCTCTGTGGCCTGAAGATGTGAAGGTAATTTCTTTTATTCTGCGTGTTAGTCACTAATATATAGAAATCAATTTTCATAATGCTCTCTTCTGTCAAAAGGCTGAAATACACTTTACCTGGATATCCTATTGATTCTAGTAAGGATCTTAGTTTGTACAGAACCGTTATGTGAAATGTTCTTTTAATTATAAAGATGGATACATGTCATTTACATCCAATGTGTTGAACATCTCTTTTCTTCGAACTTGATAGTAGAAAACATTATTACACACCTTCTACTGCCAAAACAAGGTAAAGGAGCTTCTCTTTGTGGCCCTAAACTAATATTCAGATACTTGATGAAAAGAGCATCTTAAAAGCGAGAAGAGATGCTCACTCAGCTCAGGTTACACCCTCCACTCCCCACAAATTGTAGGATAGCTCCATAGTTGTCCCTTTGTTGCTCAAACAGTTCTCGTGTTCTTTCATCTAAACAAGCTATCTGAGGATAATGACTTAAAAACCAAGAGACATGTCACAATCACAATTCACAAATGTGTTACACATGTATGCAATCATTATTTCAGTGCGTCAAAGTGGAACTCACAACTAAAGACCCAAAACTAGGTATCTAGATGGTTTGTCTTTGAACTCAAGGGTGTAACATAGTGGTCAATGAAATGGGTCGAGAACCATGAGGTTTAGATGCAAATTTAAACAGAGGCAAAAAACACTAGGTGATTTCTTCCCATATGCCCTTACCCTTGGTGGAAAGAATTACTTTATACTTGTTGCTGGTGAGAGGTGACAGGTTTCCCATGGAATCAGTCGAGTTGCGCGTAAGCTGCTCGATGAACCATGGCTTATACAAAAAAAAAAGATTGTTTAGCTTTAAGTTTTTGGTTGACTGCTACAACTTTGATTACTGATGATGTATTTGTAGATGGTTGGCATGAAGAGACCATATCCCTTCACTCCAGAGTTTCCACCAGTCCCTACATTTCACTGCAAATTTCCTCCAGCCTATGTTAACCTTGCATCGAGATCACCTGAATCAGCTTCCTGCAGCAATGAATGTGCAGCCAGTTTAGAATCAGGAAATTTGCTCAAAAGGTTTGATATCTTGAATGATCATTTCATAGTTTTAGTGCTTTGAATACCCGCTTAGACTTTTTTTTTACTCTTTTCTCCAGAGAAGCTCCTTCAGGATCAAGGACTCTATCCGAGTCCAAACCAAGGGATGTTATCAGGCAAAATAAAGCTCTCAATGGAGATTTTCTCACGTTGGCTCCTCCTACAGCCGCTTCTCCATATCAGCATTCATCTAATTCAAACCTTCAGAGTCTAGAGAGATTTAGATTGGAATCAGTGACTTGTCAGGTGAGAACAAAGGTCTACACTTTTATGTTTTGATGCCTTTATCTATTGGTATCTCAATTTTGGTGTAACAGTCTTCTTGCCTTGGTTAAATCCACAGGGAGTTGCTGAAGAACCTACTACAACAAGCTCAGCCCTAAGCAAATCAGTTCAACAATCCATCTATGGATTCTTCCCAACTGCCAAGGTACAAATCAGCCAAGAAGGAACAAACAAACGCAATTGCCATGTTGAAGTAGGAGGAAACATTGATCTCAATCTGAAGCTGTAGAAGTTAGTCATTACACATGGTTGTGCTTCTTCCGGGAGAATTTCTGCTCTTCGTAGGATGGCTAGTTCAAGTCCTAAGGTGTTAGTTTCTGCAGGGCTTTCATTCCACTCTGTGGTAGAACAACGTTTCTTCTGATGTATGTCTTTACTCACATGTAAAATATGCCTCATACCAGAGGGTTGGATTAACCTCCGGACTCTGCGTCCATGATGGGATGACGAATGAGATTTTGATTGGAATTTTCAACTAGGATGTCTGGATTCAGGTCTTTCTGGTACCTTAACTTCTGTAAACTGTTACCCTCTTCTGCGTGGCGAGTTAGATTATTATATTTTCACATGTCTTCAGTTCCACGAGGCAAGTGAAATGCTGAGAATTCTAGCTGTAGTAACTTGTTTAAATCAAGTATTGAACAAAATATGTTTCGCACTTGTTGTGTCTCTGTCTGTTTATTAGAATAGGCAGAAAATTAGATGCCTAAATGCTTTACTCTTGCCTACAGGTCACATGTAGCAAAATTAACCTATAAAAATATGACTTAACTCTCAAGTTTAGTGGGCTAATGACTTGTTCATTTATTAACTCGTTCCCCATTTGATCTGCTAGTGCAATCCATCCAAGGTTGGGCTGATCTATCATTCTAATGACCTATGATCAATTAGGTTATTAAACGACAAGCCGTTTCGGAATGAGTGTCCCTTCTGGTTTAAGTGTGCAAAACAGTACGTAAGCACTCCTCACTTTCAATCCCCCGAAAGTCGTGAATTCGAGTACCAAGGGAGCAAAAAGTTGGAGTTCCTTGAGAGGGGTTAAAAAGAAGTGTGCTTAGCAGAGAAGTACATCAGAACTTTTAAAGAGATAAATGGAAGCGCAGAAGCAGTCTGCTCAACAATAATGAGATGATTGACTAGAGACTAGAGAGAACACTCAAAACCTGTAACCAATAAACAGCAGTGGGAAATTGTAAGTAAACAAATGACTTCAGTTTTCAAGTTACTGAAGTTCTACTAGAAAATCCAAGAGCGACTAAAGTGTGCCGTAGCTCAAAAGATGCATACAAGTTCAACAAAAAGAGTCGTCCAAGACTAAGACCAACCAAATTTGTAGTCAAGAACATATACAAGTACGAGAGAGAAGGGGTAAAGTAGAAAAGCTAGCAAGGAAGTCCAAAGAGGAAAGGTGCTTCGGACGCTTGCAAAGACCCCCACGACAACACAGACAATTAGAATAACCAAGACTTCAGACGAGAAGTCCCATGTCAATCCTCTGATATAGACGAGAGCCAGGAAGACTGATAGACAAAGGAGATTGTTCATTGTCACTGCTCCATACAACTGCAAGGTACAATCACACATGTTATCAAACAAAGGCAATTGTATCAGTGATACATGCGATCAAACTGCTCAAATCTAAATTATTGGATGTTTAAACAAAAAAGGTTAAAATGGAGCAAAAGGGATATTGAGGATTAACTGTCCTACATTAAATCCGCTCCAGCCATTTACAGAAATGATCGTAAGGGATTTGACAAATTGGGAAACCTTCAAGTCTGCCTCTTGATTTTTATTAATGATCTTCCAGGTTCATTGATGCAAGTGAGGGGTAGAAAACCCACAAATTATTATACTACATAAAAGCACAAAGCTCTAAGAAAACAAACCTCAGAAAATGTTAATGATGCAGATCTCAACTTTTTCCGGCTAGCAAAGATAATAGCTGACACCGCCTCACTGGAGTTGGTCGCCAGTGGCAGAGCAATGAATGAGATGAAGAAAGAAGGAATGCTTGTGGCACTAGAGAAATTATTGACAGCATCAACCAGAGGATCAGCAAAGACGGCAGCAATGACAGTACCCAGCAAAAGCAGTAGAACAGCCTTAATTGCAGTTGATCTAGGATTCTCAACAGTCTCAACACTTTCGTCACTTTGATCCCCTAAGAAATGGTGTTCTCTCCTTGTTTGCTGCAAGCAAGTTTATACTTTATCACTATCGTCACGACAATGAATTATATAGAGAAGGCCAGAACACTCAACAAACCTCATGCAAGTCATCGAGGTACTTCATTGTATCAGGACCAGCTTCAGGAGAAGGAGCCTCGGAACCCCTGGCCTCAGTAAGCCATTTTGTAACTCCAGCAATGAACTCGGACATTTCAACTTGATGATCATGTGAAGTATCGAAGTCCTTCATCAGTTTTTCTACAGCATCATTCTCATGTAAGTTTATCTCCTCCAAACGGATTCCTACTACCAGAGCTTTTAATTCAGTACGGGAAAGATGCCCATCCTCATTTTCATCAATTGCGTTGAATAGCCTGTCATGTAATCCTTCATCATATTGATCAAGATTCTAAAACCGATTAGAACTGTGCAGAAATCATTTCAAACTTACTTTTCTAAAACTTCTATATTTGGTGCTCCCTGGTCTGTGCAAAGCCTCCCCAATGCACGCATTCTTAACTGTCTCAAAACTCCTGATATAACATGTTTATGTTTTACATAAGCAAGACGTCTACTCTGTATCCAAGGCTGAAAGACCTGCATTGGAAGTTAGAAGTTCAGAACAACTTCATCAAAGAAGATAAGTTTCAGGCCTCGTGATCTCAAACACTAAAAAGTGGGTTTATTAACCAGCCTAGTATAAAGAATGACAAAGATTTATATTTATTTGTTTCATCTTGTTGGAAGACGAAGAGGTATACAGGAGTAATCAGGTTATCTTCTGATACGAATTCAATTTTAACTCAGGTGGTTATGCGGAAAGTCCATTATCCAGGATAGTGGGGATAAAAACTATTTAAAGCATGGTCAATCATAGGTCTTGTTGTTATTGCCTATTTGAAATTCAGCTAGAAACTGTAAAAATTGATATTCATCTCCAAAGTCTGTAGTCAATGCAAATCTCTGCAGATACATCATTGCAGTTGCAAAGAAAATTAGATTGCCCACAGTGAATAAAAGAAAAAAACACATGGGCAATGTCACAGTACCTGATAGATGCAATAAGAAACAAGCAGAGTAAGTGAAATGATAAGACCAATCAAGACAGATAAATGTCTTCCTGAAGTTGAATGGAGGAGCTGTGGCAGTTGGACAACAAGAAATGGTGTTACAGATGCTGCCATTATCGTTGCAGCATGGCTTGTCCAGATGTCAGTACTAACACCAGAACCTACATTGACAGCCACTCATTGAGTAGAAGCATCTTGATACACAAAATCTGCCATATACTAGCAGGAATATCACTTGCACAAGTACACAAAATCCTCCTTGTGGCCCAATGATTTCAAAGACTAGAGCATATTTAATTCATACAAGGGCACAGGTGAAAGAAAGCCGAAAGAGATCTACAGCAACATATTTCAGGAAAGACAAAAGAAGTAAAGAACATGGAGCTTGTACATGTTTCGGTATACATATTCTAAGAGTTGAGATGCAAACCCGTCAAGCTGAATCCGTTAGTGTCTTTCATGTCTACAGCAACAGAATTTTGTATGTCGCACTTGCCAACAATGCAACAGGTTCCCCAAATAACAGTTATAAGCATCACAGTTGACCCAGCTAGCAATCCCATTCCTACAGAGACCTGGCTCTGAGCAGCTGCAGTACTTCCAGATATCCCCGATACTGAAACAATGAAGTTCAAAGTAGTAAGAAACATGGACACATTCATTATGGCTTGTAACATATGGTCTTTGACCGAGATAGTAGGCATCCACATTAACATTTTTTTCTTAATAACCGAGAAACTCACGACGAGGGCCATAGCGCACGGTTTGAAGCGTGGATAACCCCCCCCCCCCTCCCCCCGGTTCTTCTCTACTTAACACCAGGGCCTTGTACGCAGCAAGGTTCAAACCCAGGATGTGCCCCTAGCCCACACATCCACAAGCTTCACTCTTACTACTAGCTACTAGACCGAAGTCGTGGATTAGATGCTGCAACCTAGGGGACAAAGAGAAATTTATTTATTTACTGTTTTTTAATAACCATGGTATCATGGCCAACTTTCGCGCACCTCACTAATTCCATACAATACCTGTCACCTCCCACCCGCAACAAAGCTCTCGGGCACCTCTACTAATTCCATAAACTTCTCTACTATGTTTGTTCTACTGGAATTTGAAGCTGAGACCTCACGACTTTCAACCCATTTTACCGACCAAACAAAGTGAATTTAACCCATAGTAAAACACCATTTCTCAATCAACTAAGCTCGCATCAGTCCCCTAATCCTTTAATGACATATTAGATCTTGAAAACAAGTGAGAATTGATTCCTACTCGCATCATATTCATAAGGTTTTACACTAGTGTCTCCCAAATTCCAGTATGCAGACTTCGAGACATGGTTAGGATGATATATACTACAATCACTAACAAGTAAAACAAATTAATGAACCAAAATCAGAGAACTATTACAATAAGAATCATACCGAGAATAAGCATAGCATCTGGAAGAGCACCAAGCACAGGAAGAAAAAGTCCCCCAATAATACCAGGCCCTAAAATCTCAAGCAACAGTTCACTACCAGAAGAGAGATACGTAGCACCAAGGAACATAAGGTAACCATAAACCAAAATGAGAAAAACATTTCCAAGAGCAGTTTTAGTACAAGGCAGAAATCCATAACTCTGTTCACAACTCTCCTCTTCACCTCCGGCGAAATTCCGATCCAGCCGGAGAATTTCCAAATCCCGACCGATCTCACTGTGAACTCCATCGGAAATTACTCCAGCGGAGTCGTCACTGATGAAACGGCGACCGTAAACGGCGCCGGAGAAGACCAATAGAAGGAAGAGAGCGAGAAAAAATAGTTTAAGAGTCATTTTTTCGTAATTATGATGCTAAAGTGATTACAAAAACATGATTTATGAAATTTTGAGAGTGAAAAATTGGAGTCGGTTCACTAAATTATTTATTAATTTGAATCATTATTTGTTTTTTTTGAATAAATAATTCAGTAAAGGCCAGAGATGCCATCGGAGTTTTGGAGCTTTTCTGAAAATGAATTTTACGTACTTGTTTTTCGCATGAGAAATGCGGGAGTTTCGGTCTTTGGTACTGAAAATACATGTTTGTACCAATATTTAGGTTGAAAAGAAAAAAAATATATTATTCGAAATTTAATTAAAGGGGTCCAAAATTTAGTATTTAAATATTTATTTTAAGTTACAATTTGGAATCAGAGTTAGGTTTTGGATGAGGTCGGCATTTCCAATTCAAACATTAAATTTTATACCAAATTTGATATATTTTTGGTGTAGTCAACTCCAATTTACACTATAGCAAATTTTACATCAAAAGGGATTTATTTTTTTCTTTAAACTCTTTTTATTATTATATTACTAATAAAATTACCCGCCCTTCACACAGAAATTTAACATCGCAAAATTTATAAAATAATACTTGAAATATGTTCGTTATTAGAACTAAAACACTATATTAGATTACGTAGTAATAAATATTGATAATGTAAAGGAAAATAAAAATTATTACATTTTATCATTTATCCTTAAAAACAAAAGTATCAATTAATGACTATAAAAATTCATATCAGAATTTGTAACATAAGCAATGGTATCAGTGAACCACTCTACAAGAGAAAAGTATATAAATATTTGGTTGTGAAGAAGAAGAAAGAAGGTTCAAATTTTTTGTTGTTTTAAAATGAGAGGAAAGTTGCAACTCTTCGGAAAGATTACAAGCTTTCGTAAAAGCCGCAACTCTTCATTAAAGTAGCAATTTTTCGTAAAAGTCACAATTTTTCGTAAAAGTCACAATTCTTCATAAAATTCACAATTTTCCATAAAAGTCAAAACTCTTCATTAAAGTCACAACTATTCATAAAAGTCGTCACTCTTCTATAAATGTAGGCAGAGCTAATATATATATATATATATATATATATTCCTTATTTCATTTATATTTTCTTATTTCATAAAACAAATTATATCTAGAACATTCACCATACATAATTTATATTATTTCCTTTTATAATCGTTTAATATAAAATTATTTCGCACAATAATTTTTCAAATAATATAAATTGCTTGCAAATATTATACATAACGCATAATAATGGATAATACAAATACAAATGAAATCATTAATGAAATACAATTAAATAAACATTACATAATTGAAAAACTTATTTTAAATTCTACATAAATATTCAACTTTCAAGATTACGACGGTGCTTCCACAAATGTTCTATTAATGTATTACATAGTTCAAAATGAGTTTCTTTATTCTTTTTTTTTATATCGAGCTAGAAATCGTTAAAATTGATAATTTGTGATAAAAATAACATATTTTTTTTAAAAAAAGTCATACATAGAAAATTTATATAAAGCTGAGTTTTAAATCTAAAATTGATATCATAAAAATATTACATAATACAAGAAATTTAATTAAAACATACAATTTATATATTTGATTAAAAGTTTTTATACTGAAATAATATTAAAATTTTCAAAAAGTAAATTAGTATGATGAATAGTGTAACACTATTCATACACCAAGTTTGATGTAAAAATTGGTGTGTGTTGGAGCTCAAACCCCTAAATTTTACACCAAATTTAAGATTTGGTGTAAAATTTGATATTGGGGTGGAGATGGTCTTAGCTCTTAGGAGTCACTTCCCTAACGAGGATCAAGTATTGAATTGGTATCAAATTAGGGTTGTACAAAATTGAACCGAAAATTGAATCAAATTGCAAATCGAGTTAAACTGGAAAAAAATGACTAGTGGTTGGTTTGACTTGGTTTGGTGTTGAAAAAGAAAACCCGACTATATTTAGTTGGTTTGATTTTAACTAAAAAAATAACCCGAGACCAAACCAACCCGACATTATCAATATAATAATAAAAATTTATTCTATACATAAAGATATTTACTTTGATGTAATTTTTAAATATTTCTTATACTTTTTTATAGTTTTTATCTTTTAATATATTATTTTGAAGTTTGAAACTTAGAATTTTGGATGACTTCATATAGATTATAGTCCACAGATGTTGGTAATTATAATAAAACGTATATCAAAATTAAATTAATATTAAAACAAAAACTAAGAATGACAATAATATTGAATATTTGTTCTTTGATTTTACATTGATTTAGACAATTGAAATACATAATCTAATTTTAATTTCCTTTAATATTTAGTCATGTAACTACTACTTCTTAAACTTATTTTAACATGATTTAGTCATTAACCAAACCATTGTTTGTGTTATATTCTTAAGAAACACCTTAGATAGTTGTATTTTAATAGGACTAAAGAAATATTTGAATTACAAGTAAATTATATGTTTGTATGAATACTTTAGCAGAAAAATCCGAGGTTGAACCGAATTTTATTGATTTGGTTTAGTTTATCGATTTAATTATTTAAAAATCCGACACAAATGGTTTGATTTGATATTTGAAAAATTCGAACCAACCTGATCATATACACCCCTAGTTTCATGAGTAGGGTCTTAGGTTCAAATCGGTGTTGATCATAAGGCTATGTCGGAAGTCGGATCTTGGGTCAACTTTGGAAGTTGGGATCCGATTAATTAGTTGGGTACTAGGTTAATGTTAAAGAGTTATAATTGAAAATCATGTTCAAAGTTTCAAATTGGGATTGGGGCGAGAGACGAGGTGGACATCAAGGTCAGGTCATAGATCAGTGTTAGGAGTTAGTTCCCACATGAGGATCGAATCAGGGTTGGGAGTTGGGTCCCATGTCAAGGTCGGGTGGTGTGGTATTTTTATTTTGTGCTATTATGTTTAAAAATGAGGTAGGGGAAGTTGAAAACGCAAAAAGGCTTATAATATGAGGAATCAAACACTTACCAATAAGGTGATAATTACAGTCAATCAATTGAGATTTTCCGAGCGGTGAGATTGAATCACAGTTTTGAAAATTATTTCCTTTGTGTAAGAAAATCACTTTCCTTAATTTGAAGAAAATAAGTCAATTAAAAAATATTTTTCATAACATTTAAATTTATCCAGCCATAAATTAATTGAATAACACACCCTTACTATCAAACGTTGCCATAAATCATTACTTAATTCATTGCTCTTGTAATTGCAACAAGTATTTATATGATAGTTCCATCTTTATATATATACAAAATGCACCATAAACTACAAGTCTACATGCAACATCATCACGGTAACACATTTTTACTTGCGTCGCAATTTCATAGAACATTGGTTTCATCTTACCACTATATCCGCGCTTGGATCGCCACCCTAAACTTTCAATCTGATACTAACATAGGGTTTATTTCATGTTTTACATGCCTGTGACTCCTTATGTACAAGTTTAAGTCACTTTAGGAGGAACTACAGGAGCTAGCTGAACAATGAGCATTTCACCTTTCTATGGGTTTTCCTTTCTGCAAATCGACGTTGTCTTCGTTCATAGATAGTCCTGAGAAGTGAGACTTCAAGCCAATCCAGCATTGGTAATAATCGTGATCCATAAACGGAGATTCAAGAGCCCACGGACAGACTCGGGGTACTAGGCAAGACTCAAACATGAAAGCCATGGTATCAGCTATTCTATGTGGACCAGCTTCATTTCCAAGTGCAATGGTTGCCTGTCAATACATTTTTTAGAATTTTACCCTCGAATGTGGAGTAACAATACAAATTTAAGATAATATATCAACAATTAAATAGTTCAGCACTTAAGATCATCGTTAAATTTGTGATGATTCGGAAGTGGAAGGATCAAAAGGGCACATATTACTTGTGATTAAATGTGTATCGGAAATCACACAAGGACTGTTATGTACCAAGTTCAACCCAATATGAATACCAAGGTCAACACAAGTAGTTACTGGGCTGGCAAGGGCTATTGGGCCGAAAACAAGGTTAATTTGGGGTTCTGGCCGAGTAGTGGGTGTCCATTAAAAGGGGTAGCGGTCACTGATTCATGGGTTGTCTATCCTCTTTTTCTTCTAGAGTCTAAGCTTCCATTCTTATCTCTATCGTTAGTTACTTGTTATTTTCATATATCTATTGTAATTCACTAGTTTGGGTATTGCAATTACAATTCTAAAATTGTAATCACGTTTTAGTTCTCTTATCAACATAGTGAGCAATTCGGGTTTGTTACAAGGACCAAATCAGAATTTTGTTGACATTGGAGGGACTAAAAGGAACAAATTTCCTTGTAAATAAAGCCGCATATGCGGGAAGGGCATGGCCATAGAAAAGGGGGGAATACAGCAGGAGTTGTACCTCAAATGTTTTGGTATCAGGACCATGAGGAGTCATGCAGCTGTGAAGGCTTGCCCCGCCAGGGTGAAAACCATCAGCTTTTGCCTAAAACAAGCTTAACCGCATTAAAAATTGTATGAAATAACCCCAGAATTGACATTGACTTCATGCAAGAGTGAGATAAACAACCTCGTATCCGCCATAGATTAGACCCATAAATTCGCTCATACAATTGCGATGATAATATGGAGGACGGAAGGTGTGTTCAGCAACCAACCACCGGGGAGGGAAAATGACAAAGTCAAGCAACGCCACACCAGGTTTATCTGTTGGTGCTGTCAAAACTGCATTGATTTAAGAAACTAGAGCAATTGTAACTAGCGACACCGACAATTTAAGAACAAAATTCACACAGAGCAATGACAATTAATAGATGAACTGCTGATATTTAAGCCTAACCAACCTGTGTTAATTGAAGGATCACTGTGGTCCATCAATACAGTATTGTAAGGGCAGAACTTGCTTAAATCATACTGCAAATTGAGGAAATATATTACGTCAGGACTAAGGAGGCAAACAGCATCAAGTTTCCATGTAGCAAAGTAAATTGTGATAAAAAGTGCACAAGGGCACTCATATTATGAGAGATTGAAATATAGAGAAATACCCGCCTTATAAGGAACATAATTGCCATGCCAAGCGACCACATTAAAAGGAGAGAAGTCCTGCTTCGCAGTGAAGAGTTCACCACCATACTTCTGCACAATAGTGTAACCTGGACGGGAGCCATCTCCGTACCAGGCAACAGGAACAAGAAAATCCCTTGGAGCAGCTAGACCATTTGCGCCTAAATACATGTGCAAATCCATATCATCAGTAAATAACATCAGCTGTTTAAACAGCAAATAGGATTGCACTTTCTAAAGCACCTATTGGCCCCAGATCAGGAAGTTGAAGATGAGTTCCAAAAGTTTCAGCGACATAACCACGTGAAGGTCCATCCGGAAGGTCAACAGCAAACCTATATCCTTGAGGCAAAATCACAATTTCACCAGGACAAACCTGCAATCTTCCGCATTCAGTAGTAATCCACAGCCCTACATCATGAACAGAGAGTAAGAAAGAATTCCGAAGCACATATATTTGACGCTGACTACAAACAGAGAGATGACACCTGACTGATCAACACTTACTTCCTTTTTGAGGAACAATCAGAAAGTCGCCATCAGCATTGCAGAAGGCAGAGTTCTCCATTGATTTGTTGGCAGTATACCTGCATTTTCAACAAGACACATTATTACTTGATCTACTGAACTTTGTAATAGGTGTTATGCTGAGTATATATTCAATACACATCATTGTCTATTCACAATAGAAATTCATTTAGCAGATTTATAGTCCATTATGTCAAGGAGATACGATATACTCTCAGTTTAAAAGCAAATAGCAACAGAGTTTGAAGCCAATGTTTATATCCAAAGCATAACAAATCTCAATACCAATTATATTTTAACATGAACAAAGCATAAACAAGAAAGAAACAACTATATCCCGAACACCATCAGAAGGACATAGTGACAACAAGTTTGAAATACCAATTACATGTGAATTGCAAAACCATGTCGGAGATATGAGCTGCCAGCCCCGCATATAGTATACAAACCATCAATGAAATCAGTCGGTGTTTCTGGTATCTCAACAGGCTTCCACCTTAGTTGAGTTGGTGTAGCAGAACTGTTTGACTGGTTGAATTCACTCACAAGCTTTTCATGTCTCGGCATTCTTGGTCTAAACGGTTCATGTGTAACCGATGGCTTAATACGATATAGCCAACTGCACAAACAAAAGATTCCTTCAGTAACATAACCAACCTATCCATCAATTACACCTCCATCCTAAATGGTCATTTATTCAAACCCTCAAAATCCATTAACAAAAGAAAGAAAAGGTCTCATTTTAATTAGCTAACACATTTTTATATGGAAGAGTGATAACTGTTCATTAGTGTGAATGGCCAAAGTCATTGAAGTTAGGCAATCAGTTTCATTATCTGAAATATTGACAAAATATCAAAAAACTTAACAATTTCACTCCAATCCAAACACTTTCTTATATCCAAACCCCATTTTAAACTAAAAACCTTATATTATCAAAGGGAAAAAGGACAAATATATTCCACAAACTATTGTACTATCCTCTGTCATTCTTTTGGGACATTGATATCCTACCATCTAAAAACTAGCATATATACTCGACATACACGTGTCATAATTGTATATACCAATCAATTTATTAAACAGAAAAGGGCCTAAAATACCCTCAAAGTATTGGAAATGGTACAAAATTACCCTCCATCCACCTATTGGCTCCAAAATATTCTTCCCACTCACCTATTGAGTCCAAAATACCCTTGTCATCCATCCACCTATTGGCTCCAAAATATTCTTCACACTCACCTATTGAGTCCAAAATATCCTTGTCATCCACCTTTTGATTCAAAATTGACCACTTATTTAACGGTTTTATATTTAAACTATTTAAATATTTTTTTTAAATACGTAGTGCTCAACTATTTATTATAACTTAACTTATTAGTATAATTTATAAATCAATCCACTACCCACCCATTAATAATTAAACCCCTCTAAATTAATAAACCTATCACATTATTAATACAACAACAAATTAGCTACTGCCAATTGAGTGTTTTTAAAAACTTAAACCGAAAATATCTACAGAAGTAAATTATCATACATTCAAGTGTCTAAATAAAAATTATCGATATACTTAAAAGTCTGACTATGTTTATCTTAATTATTCTTATGTCTCAATTATGTGATGTTAGTTCATAGTTAACTTTTTTTAAAATAATATACTAAGATTTTAAAACAAATCATAAATTTTTATAAAATTATATTTAAAAAAAGTGCATGAATCAATTCGGGATGTATTACTTCTTTACCTTTAATCATAAATTTCTAGTTCAATTTTAAAAGATAGTGTCCTCCTAAATAAGCTACTCAACCTAAATTTAATTGGGGCTTGATTCGGACTCGAATAATTTTGGATGTCATTTTCAGGAATCTATAATTTCATCGTGTTTTAGTAGTGTTTATGACGATTTTGATATTATAATTGAATTATTAATTGGGTGAAATTTAATTAGTAATAAGTGGATAGTTAGTTAGTTTATAAATTATATTAATAAATTATATTATGACCAATAGTTGAATGCCAAGTATTTTAAAAAATATATAAAGAGTTTAATTTTAAAACAATTAAAAAAATGGTCAATTTTGATGTCAATAGTTGGATGAAAGACGGATGAATGAATAATTTTGTACCATTTTCAATACTTTAAGGTATTTTAGACTCTTTTTCATTTTATGACACGTCTTCTTATTTAGTCAACCGTTAGACCGAAGGGTGGACAATTACAGACACTAATGCAGGAGGTACAACATACCATTTACGATAGTTCAGATTTGTCGTGTTTTCCATTATCCAAACGCCTAACTAATTAAGCTGCAATAACTTTGAACTATATGCAGAATTAGGACGAGATAACAAAGGGAGGTGATTAGGCGGATTCTCCAACAGGCTTAGTAATTAAGCAAACGAAGGTATGTTACCTGCGTTGATTAAGTTTGCGAGGGGAAGTAAAAGAGGTGCCAGAGATCTGCTCAGCATAAAGTCCAAAGGGGCAAATAAGAGGACTATTTTGACCTTGAGGTAGAGCTCCAACTATAGCTTCAGATGAAAAATGATTCCCAAATCCTGTTTGGTACTCCAAATCAGAAGGAAAATTGGAAGTTCTGCTGCTGCACTCCATTTCTTTGACACCTCTGCTATTTTATGAACATTTTTATGTCTAAAAAAGAAAGAGTTGAGAAGAAGAAACCGAAACAGTGCTGTCGTGGCAGGATGATCCTTGACAGAGGCGTGTTTGTTTGAGGAACTTTCACATGTCCTTATTTGTTACGCCAATCAAGGTTTTATGACGCTGACGTTGCGTTTGGTTGAAAAATAAGTTATTGAAAATAATATTTGTTATAAATCCATTCATATGAGTGGATAGTCCATAATGTTTGATACATGAAAAATCATTCATATTCACCAGGTTTCATGAACCATTTTGAATAAAAATATATCTATTTATTATGATATTTAATACGATAATTTTCCATTTTTATAAATAGGATTATTCATTCACTATTGTATATGATACAAATGAGACTTTTACATATACTTTCCTCTATCTTATACTTCTTGTCTTCTTCTTTCTATGATTTGCTTGATTTTAAGAATAATATTATAATTTTAAAATAAATTAAATTTAAAATAAGCTTATTTTAAATTCTACCTCTATTGTATCAAATGAGAAGGGTTATTTGTTAGTTAGTTAGGGTTATTTCAAATGTAAAATATTAGTAATAAGGAAATTTATGTATCATTACAATTTAGTTATTTATGTATTAAATATTAATTATGTGGATTTTAAATTATAAATTAAAATATTATATTTAATTTTATATCTGAATAACTTATTTTTTTATGATTATGGTTTGAATTAAGTTTTTACATATTTCAATTAATTTCATAAAAACTAGTAACAAATATTAGTAAATTATGTATATCGAGATTAGGACATATGAGATTATATAATATATTGTCGTTATTATAATTTAAATATGATATTTCATATTTTTAATTTATTTTAATAGTGGTCAAATTAGACTTTTAGATGGAGAGCTTATCAGTTTTTTAAAAGAAATTTTATTCATGGTATAATATAATTTGTCCGTTTGTTTTTCATGTTCTTTTCTTTTCTTTGTTGTATTTTAATTTGATTGGTATACAATCTCTTTAAAATCATGAAATTCGTTTTAGTTATGTGCCATTTTTTCTTACGTATTACTATTATATAAGAGAGAGTTTGAGGCTAAAGTAGCAAGTCTAAGCTAGCATTTGGCCATACATATTCAAATATTTTTGACAAATATTATTTGAATGAAAATTTGGGTGATATTTTACCATGTGTTTGGCCATAGAATTTGAGAAACATATTTCATTTTTTTAAGAAATATGATTTATACCCATAAGTTTTTAAAACTATCAAACTAACCATAAATTTGTATTACACGGCACAATAGAAATTTCAGGTAACAAGATTTATGACTTCCGCAACAAATCAACAAGAATCATTACAGTAAATATTCATATAGTGAAAAGGTCTTGGTACAAATCGTGATAATGAAAATACAACTAATATAAATTCGGGGAAAAAAAAGAGAAGAAAACAAAAGGAAATAAATATTGCAATCACTGAAGAACATATGCTTTCTCGTCTGAAAGAGTTCAACCTATTCTTTAATATAATCTTCCCACATTTTATGAACAATCTCTTCTCGATGAGTTTACATTTTCGAATCAGACGATCGAGAAGATGAAGCGATGTTGTTACCCTGAGCCAGTAGTTCGTCACTTTCATCAACAACCATATCATCATTTTCATTTTCATTGAATATTCCCTCACTACTTTGGTGTTCACGTAAAAAATTATGCAATACAACGCAAACAATTACTATTTTCACTTGCATGTCACATTCATAGTTGTTCATGCCTTGTCTTAGTATTCTTAATCTAGTTTTCCATGCACCAAAAGTTCTTTCAATTACATTGCGCAGAGAAGTATGTTTATAGTTAAATAGCTCTTTCCATTCTTAGGCTCTCTTTCACTTTCTCGGTAGTCCTGCAAATGATAGCGCATTCCAATGAATGGAGCTAAAAATCCTCTTGTGTTCCGTAGACCAGCATCAACAACGTAATAATTATCTACCAAAATAAAATAAATGCAATTCATGTTTTTTTTAGTAGCTAGTTCATTAAGACTAACTGTAATAAATGAATGTATGTAATCAAAAGAATGCATGTAGAAGGGAGCTAATTGAATTGGTTGGTGTCAATAAATATATTATTTTTGTAAAATAAAAAGTTAAGGGTAAAAATTGAATTTCTAAAACTTTTCAAATAATGAAATTTGACCCATATACTAGTTTTTTCTAGTATTTGGGAATTTGAAAAATTTGCCAAAAAAATTTGCCAAATAATAAAAAAATGTATGGACAAACAAAATTTGCCAAGTTTTTTTCCCCAAGTTTTACTTGCAAAATTTATGGCCAAACGGGCCCTAAGTCAATGTGCCTATTAAGTACGAACATTCCAAATTTTAAAAATTTATTTTAATTTAATTAGTTTATAATTTTTCCGTGATCATATATAATATGCGTTTTAGTTTATACACTTTGGTTTTAAGTTCATATTCTTTAGTTATAATTTATTACTTGTAATGTCAATAATACTTGTGAAAAATTTGTGATTACATTGAGTAATAAATCAACTCACGGTAAAGAAATATTTTAATTATGTACATCTCAATGGACCTTTTCAGGTTACATTTACAAGAAAAATGTAAAATATAACGAATATTAACGATACTTATTAAGTATTTATTTTATACTTGATCAAATAACTTAATATAATTTTATTAACACTATTTAAAATAAAATTGTGAATAATAAAATACAATATTTATAAGTATTTCTATTAAATATGTACAAACATAAAATATAAATATAATCATCATAATATACAATAATAAAAAACACACAAAAGTAATTAACTCCAATTTAGTTCTAAACATAAACTTTTTGATAACCAATCCTTAAAATCAAGAAACCATTCCAACTAAAATTTCGATTCAATTTGATTTAATTATTCAATTTAAAAAATTTCAATTCAATTCAATTTAATATAATTATTCAATTTAATTATTCGATTTAATCCGAAAATAGCGTACACAATTCACCCAAGGGCGCGAATAAACCGAAAAAGTAAAGTGACTATTTAGGTGTTTTCCTCTCTGTAAAACCCCTAATTTCTTCTTCTTCTTAAACCCTGAAAAACTGGAAGTAAAGCTTTAACCTCCAAACGAAGCCATCAATGGAGGTAGCAGAAGATGCATCAAAGGCCCGAAAATCCCGTACGAGGAAACGTAATAATGCCGAAGATGATTATAATTGTGGAATTAATCCATCTACAGAAGCTAGAAGGATTAACTCTGTCATATTAGCAAATACTAAACCAAGTTTTTGTCTAAAACGGGGAATCGGCAGTTTACACAAAGATCATCGGAGTTTACAGTCTGAACATAGGAGAAGACTTCGACGTTTGCTGGAAAAATTGATGCGGCAACATAAATATGCTGAGGCTAGTGGTGTACTGAGTGTTCTTCTTAAAGGAACTACAAAAGAATCAGCCGTATTCAAAACTCGCACAAAGTTTATGGTACTAATCTATTCAATCTATCCAATTACTTTATTTCATTTTGGTACTTCGTTTTTTTTTAAGCTTAATTCGAACACTCAAATTTTACCTCAATTGTCAAGTTGCCCATGTAGAGAGCTCAATTTGGTTTCAGCTAGCAACTAATCACTCCAATTTGTCTCTATTGTATCTCATGGACACACTAACCTGACTTATCATATAAGTTTTGGTAGTGTGTAGATGATCATTTTGTTAGTTGGAGTGTTCGTAATGACACGGTGGAGATGAGTTAGGGTGTATAAATGTGATTTTTCAAGGTTGGAGTGTTAACATGCCAGTTGTGCGCAAATTTGAGTGTCCGTTTATGTATTATGGCTTGTTTCTATAAAAAAGTTTTATCCAGCAAGAATAGTCATGTTTTGATATGATTTCTAACATTTTAGGCAATTTTGGAGCTCATTGAGCATATAAAAGGTGACACTATCAGTTCAAAGAGGATACAAGATATTTATGAACTTTGGATGAAGAAGCTTGGACCTATGAAAAACAGGCCCCCAAAGGTAACAATTTAAAAATATATAAAGTATTTGCTTATATGTTTGGTCATTAGTTCTGTATTACTCCAAGTTGCTCTTTTCAAGTTTTCTGTAACATTTACTATTTTCTTGCAAAGTACCTTTTATATGCCATATGTTAGAATACACGAGTCCACTAACAGTCAATGGACCAGGTCCCTTGACACACTCAAAATAAGAACGACGGTAAATAAAGGCAGAATATCAACACAGTCAGTTTACGTGAAAACCTCCTTGATCAAGGGAGTAAAACCACGACCTGTCGCACAGGATTTCCAACCGTTTTCTCTAATCTTCACAAGCAAAAGTAAAACCGGTTACAAAAGAGTGAGAAAAAATCATTAATCTCACTATCAAGCAATAACTCTATTGCTTGAAGAGCCTAAGCAAATATGACTCTGCCCACTAAGCTATTACTACTAGACAACTTAGGATTCACTAAGCAACACACAGGTTGCCCACTAAACCACCACTCAACTGACGATTTAGACTTTTCTAAGCAATACACAGATTGCCCACTAAGTTAGTTGAACTTAACTAAGTTAGAATTCACTGACCAAAACAAACTGAATCCTTTATAAGTTTTAGGACCAGATTACAATTTCAGATCAAAAGAAATACTTCTAAGACACCTACACTATCAGCACCTTAGCTTGAGTTGTTCTTTGAAATATTTCTTTTCTTCAAATTTCTCAGCCTTCGCAAAAGTTCTTGAGATGCCTTTTCAATTTGCAAAAACTAAGATTGTGACTATTGGATGTTATGTTTATATGAGATAGTCACAATCCTTAAAGCATTGCGATTGGTTGAGGTTTCTGCCGTGTCTGCCCATTCTGTCACTGTTGTCACTGTTGGAGACTGTGCACCAACTTTTTGAACTTTTTCAGCTGACAGTGAAAAGTTTGTCAAATCATCAAAACTACAAATAACACAATAT